TTGACTTAACAAGGAGGAAGGAGATTTCCCGCAGAAAATGGATATTAGTTTGTGAGACACCTTTTCCAGCACTGGGAACAAAATGATTTTTATCACTTGAGTGCTTTTGCAACCTCAACTTTATAGAATGATCTGCTGTAATTTGTGTAATTCGTTCATAAATACAGAGGGTGTATCCAAGAATCTTAAAGTAGCTCATGCAATTCTGATGCTTAATAAAATGACATGTTGAGGGAGCTATAGTTCATTAATCTAATAGTAATTGGAAAAATACTTGAGATTACTTTATGCAGCAAACCTTGAGCCCATAATGGCCAGATAGCATGGATTTAGAAGTTAGGGGGTCATGCCTCATGAAGCACATCCAGCTCTTCTAGCACATTACTGAATTAGTGGTTGAGGCAAATCCAAGTTAATTTAATATGATTGGATTCAAAATGACATTTCAAAAACCACAGCTGGAGTTTCTGAATGAGATAAAAGTCTTTAGTATTAATGACAAATTGGCTGGTTAGATTAAACGATGGTATTCCAATAGATGGCTCAAGCTAGTGATAAAGGCATAAGGCTATGATAATTGAACAAGGTTCCATCTGGGAAATAGTAACAAGCAAAATGTTTGCCTTAGGTCTCCTGCTGTTCATATTGTTCACAAAGAATTTGGGGGATGGCAAAACTAGAGCTATTATTATACTTGATCACAATAAAATGATGTGGCCAAATGACAAGGATGGGTAAAATTCCTAAATGTCATATCATTCAAAATTATCTGAGAAATGTAGGGTAGGTACACTGCATTAAGGTTTGGCTGTATGATGGGATGTAATTGGAGTGATCTCAAGTAGAGTGCATCTATCCGCTTGACAAAAGATAACAAGCTTCAACTATGCACAATCATATATTACCGAACCCCACGTCCCATTTAGGAAGAAAAGTGGAAGGGATAGACATTTTACATGTTGATACAATACAATAAAATACAAAATTACATTTGTATAGCACCTTTCACGTCGGGAGATTGTCCCAATACCCGAGAAGAGTTTTTTTTCATATCTGTGACTTGGCTTAATTGTAGTTAGCATTCAGATGCATGGCCTCGCCCCACCCTACCTCTGCGACCTCCTAACCCCCTCGGCTTTGGCCTGCTTCACGTCCCTCGACCCACCCACCCCACCATTGGCGGCAGAGCCTTCAGTCACTGGAAGGCTTTCCAACCTCTGGAATTCCATCCCCCAGTCACTCTGCCTCACCCCTTCCTTATGCTACTTCAAGTCCCGGCTCAAGACCCTCCTCTTTGACCATGCCATCGGCCACCCCCCTTCCCCTCCCCTCCCTACTCCCGCCCTGATCCCAGCTCGGGTCTGAAATGCTGTACTCTGTCCAGCACCTTGGGACATCCTCCCGACGTGAAAGGTGCTATACAAAAGTAATCTTTGTTTTTGTTGTCAGTACATGTGGGAGCACAGCACAACTGGCAGCAGAAATAGGTGTAACACTGAGTGTTGTCCACCAAGGAAACAAATATTTAAAATGAAAACATTTCTTTTCAGTTCACAGATAAGAAACCCATCAATGCCCATCCTCTGTGGAGCACAAGACTTGAAGTCTTACCAACAGCCCCTTGAACATAACTCTTCAATGAACAGTTTTAATGTTTTGCTTCAACTACTGCTGAGTGTGCCCAATGAATCCCAAAGGTGTCGTTTCTCAGATGTACTTTTCAGTTAAGAAACTACAGCAAACCAAGGTAATGTGTTCCCTTGAAGCCTGATCACATAATGCAAACATCTTTACCAAAAATGGTAATTTTTAAAAAAAATTAAAAAAAAAAACTTCAGAAATATCATGCAAGCTAAACTACTGGAGTCCTGTAGCTCAGTGGTTAGAGCACTTGCTTTGCAAGCGAGAGATCTGAGTTCAATTCTAGGCAGAGGGCGAAACCTTGGGCAAGTTTCCTTACTCCACACAGAGCCTAATAATAATCCCTCCAAAACCAAAAAACAAAAATAAATTGGTCATTTTCAATCTACGACTGTTTGTGGGACATTGCTGTGCGCAATTGGCTGCCACGTTCGCCCACAAATATACAGTCAATTCACTTTACAGTATGTTCTGTGAAGCGCTTTGGGATGTCCTCCCGACGTGAAAAGCGCTATATCAAATACAAGGATTATTATTATTATTATGGTGTTTTATACTCCTTTATGTTTATACACAGTTGATCAGCTTTCATTATAGAATTTCTTCGTTCAGAAATGTTCAGTATTACATCTAACACGTTTAATATGGCTTCCTGTAGGCTCGTGATGTGGTTATTGCAGTAGCACTACAGGAACTGCAAACTTTTTGAGAAAGTGTGCAAATCAACATGAAAAATGTTGGCAATACAAGCAAAAGCATACCACCATCAAAATTAAATGATTGGCATGTATGTAGCTCTAAGATAGAATTTTACTAGTTCTATGGTGTCATGTGGATGTCAGCCTGGCATTTGCTACAAGACTATTTTGCAGGAAGTATCCATAGCATTGCTGTTGCCAGTTGTCATTATGACCATACGTGTGACAAACGTTCCATTTCCAGTACTGCTTGAAACATGAACATTGTTGCTGTGATACCAAACTAGACATCAAACAGATGTCGCTGGGAACACTCAGGTCAGGCAGATCTATGGAGATGGCGAAAAGTCATTGACTTGAAACTTTAAACCACTTTCCTCTCTCCATAGATGCTGCCTGATTTGCTGAGTGTTCCCGGTGACTTTTGTTTTTATTTCAGATTTCCAGCATCTGCAGTATTTTGCCTTGTTTTTCCAGACATACTTGGCATTTCTTAATTCATGTTTGACCATATATAAAAAGAATAACCCGTAGGATAATAAAAGTGCAAACATATCATTACAACATTAAATCTAAAGATATTTACTAAGAGAGAGTGCAATCAATGCATTTAGTATTAGATGTGGAGTAATAAAACAATGCACACTCCACAACATCAGTGGTTATAGTGAGTTAAGTGAGATAATTTGATGTGCAAGTTCATTCTTCACCAAGATGCTCCACCCCATTTTCTGGCCATATTACATTTTATCCCTCAATGCAGACATAGAAATAAAGTCTGTGCTGTTTTTTAACTAATGCAAACATACTACTTTATTTCCAATTACTGCAGAAGAAGTCTGACTGTTTGCTATTATTCTGCTGGTGGGAAAATAAGATGTGGTCACAACCAAATTGCTTGTGCCAATGTAGCAAACAATGGGCATCAATGAACAATCTCGCCACTTAATCTTTCCATTTATAAATTGGACACTCCTGCCCTATATATGGAAACATGCTTTTTATCTCAGAGAATAGCAAAAAAAAACACTAATGGACAGGACAGAAGAACTGTTCAACAGTGAGTGGCATTGAAGTCATCATTTACTTCCAAGAAAATAAATATTCTCAGAGACAAACTTGAACCTGCTTCTGGTCCCCTGTACCTGACATACCTTCTTGTGTTTTGTGCTGTACTAGTGATTTTGCTTTCAAGTCATGCATTGTGAAATATTCACAAATATTCATCATGATATGCCATAGTTTTTCAATAGAGAAATGGGAGTTACAACTGCCAAATATATACATTGAGAAAATCCTAGTACATTGTGCTACTGTAACAAAATAAAAAATGGTATTATTCAAAGAAGTATAACAAGTTTAAATAGAAATAATATATAATAATAATAATAATCCTTGCATTTGATATAGCGCTTTTCACGTCGGGAGGACGTCCCAAAGCGCTTCACAGAATATACTGTAAAGTGAGTTGACTGTATATTTTGTGGGCGAACGCGGCAGCCAATTGCGCACAGCAATGTCCCACAAACAGTCATAGATTGAAAATGACCAATTTAATTATTGTTTTTTTTTTTTTTTTGGAGGGATTATTATTAGGCGTGTGGAGTAAGGAAACTTGCCCAAGGTTTCGCCCTGCCTGGAATTGAACTCAGGTCTCTTGCTTGCAAAGCGAGTGCTCTAACCACTGAGCTACAGGACTCCACGTGTTACATGAAGGAATCTGCTAGTTCCAGGGGTAATAATCCCTTCACAAAATAAATAACATAATCATAATTAGGTCATTCAATCTACGATTGTTTGTGGGACATCGCTGTGCGCAATCGGCTGCCGTGTTTCGCCCACAGAATGTACAGTCAAGTCAATTCACTTTACAGTATATTCTGTGAAGCACTTTGAGACGTCTAGAAGAACGTGGTAAGGTGCTGTATCAAATGCAAGAATTATTATTAATATTATTATTATGTGTGAGTACATTAATTATCAACAAAATAAAAATGAATAAAAGAGCCTATGAAACCCTTTGCCTTTTCATCTCAAAATGCTTCGATTTTTTCTTATTTTTTTTCCATCCTTTTCAAGCTAAGAATATTTGGCACCTCCCTCATTAATTTAATTTAATGTGGCACCTGCACAATATAATGTCATTGGAAATTGTGTTTCTAGAGTGCTGTTTGGGACAGGAGCTGGACATGTGTATCCGCAATTGTAGTCACAATTCTGTCGGAACTCCATAGCTCCCCAGTTCTTCACCAAGTAATCTGGAAGGATCTTGAAAAGATATTCTATGATTAAATTTATATTAATAATAATTCTTGCATTTGATATTGTGCCTTATCACGTCTTTGACAAGCTTCACAGAATATACTGTAAAGTGAATTCAATGTATATTTTGTGGGTGAAATTTCACACAGGAGTGTACCACAAATCGTCGTGGATTGAGTGACCAACTTATTATTTCTCTTATAATCAGTTGATAATCAATTATCAACAGCTACAAACACTGTATAGAATTTTTCCCTCTAATTCTGACTTACCTTCTGAATATATCAATAGAGGCAGGCCTTTACTTACACAAGTTTTGCAGTTGAAACAATTATCTTTTAGATTCTACATTGAAACAACCCAAAGTCAAAAAAGGCAGGTGTAATATAGATCTTGTACCTCAATAGGTGGCAGCCCTCCAGCACCAGGGATGCAGTCCGGCAACATGATGATCTTCTCTGGAGTGCTGCATTGACACGATGGGGAGGGATTTGCCATACTCCAATTACCATTCATAAGTGTATCATTGACAGATGGTGGTACTGGTGGGATGTACCAGGCCATATCATTGCTCATGCAGGGAAGTTTCCTAGGCAAACATATTTAAAAGAGCGTGCATCAGTTGGTGGCATTTTTACTTTATCTGATGATGCATTTCCAATGACTTTAAACACAGTGGATTCCTATTTTGTTAACATCACTTTATACATTGGAGTGTACAGTTACGTTCATTTTTACACATCGTTTTCACTCCTTGCATTTTTCTAGCAACATGTCTGGTATGAATAGATCTACAATGTACTTTTTACTCTGTTTACGGGTTATCAGCTGCACCGATTCAATTAGTTGCATATTGTTTCAATTATATGTTATTATATTCAATTATATATGCACATCACAGATACACAGGTGAACTCTTACATACAATCCATTACAAATGTATGAATTCGTATAGCGCCTTTCACGTTGAGAGAATGTCCCAAGGTGCAGGACAGTCAGGGATTTGGACCCGAACTGGGTGTCGGGATCGGAAAGGGTAAAGGGAAGGGAGGTTAGGAGGGTGGCCCAAGGCGTGGTCACAGAGGAGGGTTTTGAGACGCACCTTGAAGGAGGCAAGGAGGGGCGAGGTGAAGGGAATGTGCGATGGAGTTCCAAAGGGACTTCCAAAGGAATGGAGTTACATAGACATGATTTAATTATTAGGCTTACGGTATTGGATCATTGTTCATGCATCGTGTTCCAAATCCAGGATTGTTCACCATTGAGTCAACCACTTGTGCGACTTGTTCATTTTCAGTGGCATCATTGCTGTTAATAGACAAAAAACAACACAATGAAAACAAAGAAAATAGGAAGTTTCATTGAACTGGCAGATACATTATTACCTCAGACAGAACTCTATTCCAGTTGGTTCCATTTGTGTTTTTTCTTATTTGTTCTCCTTCAAATGCTCCTCCTTTCATTTAATTCACCCTACTTGGGTGTCCTCCCTACTAAAACAAGTGTTTTCTTGCTAAGAAGTTTATAGGTTCCAAGTCTCTGTATTTATTGCACTCAGCAACTTGCCAGGCTCCACTGGCTCCCAATCACCGAACGGATCGATTTCAAGATCCTCTCATTCGATTTCAAATCCCTTCATGCCCTAGCACCTCACTACCTAGCCGATCTGCTTACCCCCCACTCCACCACCCACTACCTCCACTTGGGTGGTTCGGGCATCCTGTTTCACCTTTGTGCCCTCCATTGTCAGAATGCGCCACTGTGATTCGCTCCGGGACGCTATCCTGCATGAAAGGCGTTATATAAATGCAAGTTGTTGTTGTTGTAGCAACTAATCTGGTGTTTCCTTTACATTTCAGTTTTGGCTGGAAATCAGCATTTACAATAGAATTATGTGCATCTGTACAATAACCATCCACATGGGTGCCCGATCGAGAAGGAAAGTGGAGCTGTGATGCTGTGAAACATTTAAATGAACTGGCAACTCAAGGCAAGTGAGTCTATTTTGTGATTTGTTAGAGATGGGGAGTGAGAGAGAGAGATGGAGAAAAATAAAGTCAGAGAGAATGAAACAGTAAGAAAGAGAGATAAAAATGTTAGAGGAAGAATAAAAGAGCCAGAGAGTCAGGGAGAGAGAGAAAGAGAAAGGTATTTTAGTGTCAGTATAATTCCAGATAGAAGATGTTCATGTTTTAATGTTTAGTGGCTCTTAATTTTTCCTTCGCCAATTCTGGGACATCAATACTTAAGTCATGCCAATCCTAGGAATTATACACAAACATACAAGAGCTTTTGTTATACAACACAAAATATCTGCACACCTGGTCCAGAAATATTTGCGGTAAGATTGACAATAAGATTAACCCTTGTGAAGTCAGGAATGGTTTAAAAATGTTACCATTTCTATAAGTGTTGTTCTACATAGTTAAAAACAATTGGCCCACGAAACAGGGTGTTGCAGAATGAAGAAAAGGTTACTATTGAACAATGTGCATGGCGAGCAGACAGAAGAACCCAGACGAAACAGACAGAAGAACCCAGACGAAACAAACAGAAGAACCCAGACGAAATTGGTCAGATCAGTTTTGGGCAAAGGAACAAAACAACTCCGAATATGGAATTGAGCAGGGTCTTGCAGAGTCAACAAATGAGTCACGTGATCAAAGGTCATCTGGGACTATAAAACTTTTGTGAGTCCTTTGTTCGGGAGATTGACCCTGGAGACCAACTGATCAGCAGACTTGCAGATCTGACGAACTATCGGATAACCCCTGCGACTGGGACGAGGTAATATCCACATCGAAGAAGAAGGAACATCATAAACCTCTACGTCTGGGACGAGAAGAATATTGGGAAACCCCTACGTCTTGGACGAGAAAAGAGAGAGACATCGAGATTTGAGGAAGCATGGCCAGCTCCCAATCTCGGGTAATATCGCTTGCTTTATTGTAGAGGTTACCGGGTGACCAAAGGCAAAATGATTTGCGATTTAAATAGACATTCTTAAAGAAACTATTAGTACATTGATTGATTAGAAGGGATCGGTCAACAAGGGCAACAGTCACTTCTTGAATGCAAGTGATTAAGATAATTCGTTGGTTGATGCCGAAGATATCCTCTGCAAGTGACAGAAACAAACCACTGGTGAATTGCTTTAGCAACTATGACCTTCATAGGCACCAAAAAGAACAGGTTAAGTCATACAGACCCTCAAATTTCAATGACTGCATTTCTAGAGAGTCTTAATGTCCTCCAGCACTGCTCCTTTCTCAGTTCTACGCCTGAATATTTTAACTCTGTAAAGTCTGTCCCTTGGTTACAGTCTTTCTTGACAGGGAGCGGCGCCAGGACAGCGCGGGGAGGAGCCTGGGCCTACCTACCCAGGTATTTAAACTCGACGCGGCAGGGAGTGCAGCCAGTGTGCGGGGTGTGGGGCTGAGGAGGGAACGGGTGGGGGCGGAGTGGGGGAACCGCTGACGTCATAGTTGTAGTTTTCAGAAGTGCGCCCCCCGGCCTCACATCAGGGCCCACCATGGTCCTGTTGGGTTCGCTGCCCCAGCCTATGTGATAATGTTTCCATCCACCTGACCGCTCGCTCCCGGTCCCCGCGTGCGCACTATGGCTGCCGCTATGACCCGAGCCCCCTCACCCCCTCCCTCCTCCCTCCTCTCTACCACCAAACCCTCCCCCCTCTACAACTCTCCCGCTCTGTCCTCCTCTCTCTCCGTCCCTCTCGCTTTCTATCCCCACTTGACCCTCCCACAACCTCCCTCTGCTCCAGCCTGGGAATCCTCCGCCGGGCTCACCGTGGCACTCGGCGTTGGCTGTCCAGCAGCAGCCACACCGACTGTCCCATTCCTCACCACACTCGCCAGCCACCCCGGACACAGACCCGGGGAGCCAACCTCTCCTCCCTTATCCCCATTCCCCTCACCCCTGCCTCACAACCTGGACCCCCTTCCCCTCACCACACACCCGTCTGTCAACCGCTCCATCCACATCGGACAACAAAACGTCCGCTCCCTCTGTAACAAGGCCCTGGTCATCATGGCCTTAACGGAAACCTGGCTCACCCCAGGCAACACCTTCCCCCTCACGGAGGCCACACCACCCGGCTACACCTCCCACCACATCCCTCGCCCCAACCTCCGTGGCGGTGGTGTTGCCCTTATCTCAAGGACACCACTTGCCCTATCCCCCTACTCCTCTGGCTCTTTCCCCTCTTTTGAGCACCTCACCCTCTCCCACCCCTCCTTCCTCTCACTTAAAATCCTCCTCCTCTACCGGCCCCCTAAAACCTCTCCCACCTTCATCTCCGATATTTCGACACTTCTTACATCTCTCTGCCTCTGCTCTGATCGCCTCATCATCCTGGGCGACTTTAACCTGCACTTCACCCCCTCCTGCTCCATCTCCTCAGACTTCTCTTCCCTGCTCTCCTCGCTCAACCTCTCCCTCCACATCAACTCCCCCACTCAGAGTCACGGCCACCCACTCAACTTGGTGATCACCAAGTGTCTCGGATGTCACTATCACCGACAAGGCCATCTCCGACCACCACTTCATCTCCTTCACCACCTCCACCCCCCTCCCCATCTCCACCAGACCCACCACCATCTTCTACCGCCCCTGGAAGAAGTTACCCCCACAATCCCTAACCGCTGCCTTGGAGTCCTCTGAACTCCTCTCCCTCTGGCCTTCAACCCTCACTGGCCCCTCTTCTGCTCTCACCCTCCTCCACAATACCCTCTCCTCCACACTTGACACTCTTGCCCCCATCACCTCCCGTACTGTCTCCTACTCTCGCTCCTCCCCCTGGTTCACCACCCACCTCCGCTCACTGAAGAGCCAGGTGCGGGCCGCTGGACGCAACTGGTCAAATCTGGCCTAACGGTCCACCGACAAATCTGGCTGGACCTCCTCAAAATCTACCGCTCCACTCTAGCCTCGGCCAAATCGTCCTTCTACTCCAGGATAATCCTGGAGGCGAAGAACAACCCCAGGCTACTGTTCTCTACCACACCCCAACTCCTCCGTCCCCCCCGCCACCCCGCGCAGGTCATCTCCTCCAACCTTCACTGCGAGGAGATGCTGGATTTCCTTGAATCCAAAATCAAGGGAATTCGCTCCGCGGTCACTTCCCCTCCAACATCCACCCACCCCCCCACCCCTTCCCTCCCACACTCCGACTCCTACCCATCCTCCCCTACACACTTCGTACCCGTTTCCCCACCCTCTGTCACCAAACTCATCCTATCCCTGAAACCCACCACCTGCTCCCTTGACCCCATCCCCACTCCACTCCTTATCTCCCAGCTCCACCTCCTTGCCCCACATATCACAGACATCGTCAACCTGTCCCTCTCCTCTGGCTCTGTTCCCATTCCCTTAAAAACTGCCACCATCACTCCCACCTTGAAAAAAACCTCCCTTGATGCGTCGCAGCTATCAAGCTACCGGCCCATCTCCAACCTCCCCTTCCTGTCCAAGGTCCTGGAACGAGTTGTCGCCTCCCAGCTGCGCTCTTTCCTCTCCAACCATTCACTATTCGAACCCCTTCAGTCGGGTTTCCGTGCTGCCCATAGCACAGAAACTGCCCTGGTCAAGGTCACCAATGACATCCTGACCATCTGTGACCAGGGCTCCCTCTGCCTCCTCGTCCTCCTCGACCTATCGGCAGCATTCGATACGGTCGACCATGCTATCCTCCTCCACCGCTTGTCCTCCCACCTCAACCTTCAAGGCCCTGTCCTTGAGTGGTTTAGGTCGTACCTCTCCCACCGTCTTCACTTTGTTTCCACGAATGGTTTTTCCTCCGGCCCCCGCACTGTCTTGTGCTGTGTCCCTCAAGGCTCTGTCCTCGGTCCCCTCCTCTTCACCCTCTATATGCTCCCCCTTGGTGACATCATCCGCAGACATGGGGTTAACTTCCACATGTATGCGGATGACACCCAACTCTACCTTTCCTCCTCTACCCTCAACTCCACGACCACCGATGTCCTGACAGCTGCCTGTCCGACATCGAGTCCTGGACGAGAGATAACTTTCTCCAGCTCAACGTGCGTAAAACTGAGGCCCTCCTGATTGGCTCACGTCAGCGCCTCCGCACCTCAGGCGCTGACAGCATCAGCATCCAAGGCTGCACTCTCCACCTCTCAAAGCCAGTCAGGAACCTCGGGTTCTGTTCGACCCTGAGCTGTCCTTTCTCCCTCATATCCGCGCCACAACTGGCACCGCCTTACATCACCTCCGGAATGTCGCCAGACTACGGTACGACCTCACCCCTCACGCTGCTGAAACCCTGGTCCACGCCTTTATCACCTCAAGGCTGGACTATGGGAACTCTCTCCTCGCCGGCCTTCCCGGCACCTCCCTCCACAAGCTGCAGGTCATTCAGAACTCTGCAGCTCGTGTACTGTCCCGCACCAGGCTTCGCGACCACATCACTCCCACCCTCGCTCGCCTCCACTGGCTCCCCATCCCCCAGAGGATCAAATTCAAGATCCTCATCCTCACCTACAAGGCCATTCACGGCCTCACTCTCCCTCCTACCTCTCCGACCTACTATCCCCCTACCTACCTGCCCGTACCCTCCGTTCCTCTGGCTCCGGTCTGCTCCACATCCCCCGCCCCAACCGCCCTACCATCGGTGGTCGGGCCTTCAGCCTCTCAGCCCCGAGGCTCTGGAACTCTATCCCCCAGTGCCTTCGCCGCCTCCTCCCTTTCCTCCTTCAAGGCCGGTCTCAAGACCTTTCTCTTTGACCGTGCCTTCAGCTCCCCTCTCGACTCTCTACCCCCTCCTCGCTCCCTCCCTTCACTCCCCTCACCCTGACCATTTCCCCCCTGCTCGGGTCCTAACCCAACTGTACAGCGGCTTGGGACGTCCTCCCGACGTGAAAGGCGCTGAATAAATGGAATCTTGTTGTTGTTGTTGTTTCTTTGTAAACCCAATGCCTCTGTGACCTCGCTTCATTCTTTTTGTCATCTGACGCAAATGCTGGCAACCACACAGAAGAGAAATCGAAGCTACTGAGCATTTGTCAAATTTTGTGAAGAATTAGTACCATCAAAGCTCTGAGTTGAACATCCTACAAATCCTGCTGGTGCCTAAGGTATGCCTAAACTGCAGCACAGTTTGCATTAATCAAAACACACCTCTCTCTTTCTCCAGTTAGAGGTTTATTGCAGTTTTGCTGATAGCTTCTCGACCTGCTTCTGGTACTTCTATGCTCAATGGATGAATATACCACAGCTCTTTCTTGGTATTATTTTACTACTGTAAATTTCCTAAAACCCTCTTTGCAAAAAGAATGTTTCAGTGCCTCAGCAATAACAAAATATTTTCTACACCATTTTAATCCACAAGATGCTTTCTCTGTGAACGACCAGTAGAATATAGCATTGAGTTCAAACACTTGCACTGCAATTTGAACATGACTAAGCACATCTGACAGAGATGTCAGTGTTCCTACCATGTTTATTAGCATTCTACACTTAATTAATTCAGTTCATGTGCTTAAAGAAAATATTGCATTAATAAGATTGATAATGATTAATCCAAAACCTAGTCTCCTTAAAGCAGCATGACTGATTTCCCTTTCATGGTATTAATTTAAAATGTATTTGTAGAAACATCAAAATATAGATTTCCCGTGTGAAAGCAGGCTATTCTTGGGAATACTGTACTAAACATTGGGTTTCTATGCTGAGCAGTGCACACTGAATACTCCACAACTGTGATCGATTAAAAATATTACATCCGTAAAATGCATTTTATTTTAGTGATTTTCTTTTTCGAGAATGTTGTATCATTTGCCACTTATAATAACAAAAAAAAATCTATTGACAGAATAAGGTATAAAACATCATTCTGAAGGAAAAAGATTGTTCAGTCATTGGCTTAATTTCATTTGTATAGTTAAATCACAAATGCTTTCTGCCAGAAAATGTACAGTTTAATATGTACATATTATGTACATAGACTGCAGAGTGAAAGAGGGGAAAATAACCAAATCATCATAGAATCATACAACACACACAATCATACAACACAGGAAGCCATTTGGCCCTTCGTGCCTGTGCTGGCTCTTTGAAAAAGCTACCCAATTAGTTTCACTCCCCGCTCTTTCTCTATAGCCTTGCAATTTTTTTCCTTTTCCAGTATATATCTAATCCAAGTCATAAAAAATAAGATACTGAAAAAATGAGAGATTCTACTTTTAATGCATTTATTCATATAACATCAAATTAATTGTTAATGAATGATTAGTTCCAGTGCTGGTTGGAACACAACGCAAAGCAAAACACTAGGCTAAGAGCAAGGAATTATTCATTACTTTAAAACAATGCAATTCTGATGCTGTCAAAATACCTAGAGATGGGAGATTTTCAATTGCCTTATTAGTACAAATACTCCCGTTGATAGATAACATTAAATCCTACAAGGATGTTCCAATGTGCTGAGGCACTTTTCTCTACTCTCCCTTTCCCTCAACGACCTCTCACTTGGATAAAACCACCTCATTGAAGTCTTTTACCTGCCTTACATACTTACCCCGTTTTCTTTTCCACTTATTTTTTTACTTGGATTATTGTGCACCCCTTCTAGAGGTGTTTGGAGGGCACATTGGTCAAATGTGGTTCTTCACTGTCACCATCAACTCATAGGTACAGTTTGAACCATTTGGTAGAGCTTTTGGAAGCTGAATCCATTAGCCAAAGAAAACCACTGATATCTTGTAACTCAATATACATCTTTGACATGCAGTTATGCACAAAAAACACACGGACACATCATGTTACAGTAGATCCTGTGAAGTGTTTGCGTGAAGGGTTCTATATAAATGCAGATAGTTGACTCGATGATGTGAATATGACTTCATCAATTATAGCTAAGGCAGCACTATAGTAGGGAGAGAAAAGTCACTCAGTTAACTATACTTGTGAATATTTCAGATATGACTGACTGTAATGCCAATCGCTACCATTTAATGGTGGAATAGTTGGCTTACAATTATCTCTTTATATATGTCTCACATATAGAGATTAACAATTGGAGTGAGTTAGAGGATTGTGGCCAACACACTTGAGACTGGTACCCAATGTGAATCTGTAAGCTTAGCTTAACTATAGAAATCTATGAGAACAACAACTTGCATTTGTATAGCATCCTTCACGTAAGTAGCATCTTGGACGCTTAACTGTGGATGCTTAACTGATTGATACCGAACTGGAAAGAAAAGGGAGACGGCTATAGAGAAAAGTCATCAGGAATGATTTGAAGATGGGAAAAGATGGTGGAAGACAGAGGGATTGAGGCAGGGACTTACAGAGATTTAGGGCATAGTTACTGAAAGCAATGCTGCCAATGGTGGCGCAGAGGGGACAAGGGAGATAACAAATACACAGTGGGAGGCACTTGTACTTTTTTGTGCTTGATATCTGATGAAGCCAATGAGCAATGCCAAAAGTTTTTTTTTACTGTTTTCAGATCCTCATACCTGAAGAATGTGTGCTGTGCTGATCCATACATCCATGGCTGTAGCTCCAGACTTGGGAACTCCACAAAAGGAGGAATAATCAGAGAGAATACTAGAGCTAAGCAGACAAACAGGGCCGGCAACACAACCTGAAGACAAGAAGAAGAAAAACAAATAACCATTGCACACTTTTGACATTTTGTTCATGATTGCAATTTAATAATCTTTTTATTTGATATAGCGCCTTATCACATCTTTACAATGTCACAAAATGCTTCAAAGTGCTCAATATACTGTAAAGTGAATTGACTGTATATTTTGCAGGTGAAACACAGCAGCCAATTGCGCACAGAAAAGCGATCCGCTGATCGACTAACAACTGGGTTCCTACTAACTGTTAGGTAAACAGAGGCGTGTGGGGTAAGGAAACTTGCCTAACATTTTGCTCTCTCCTGAAATTGAACCCAGGTCCTCTTACTTATGAGGCGAGTGCTCTAACCACTAAGTTACAGGAGTCTGTATAGTTTGTGGATTCAAAAGGTAGATGGCAGTGTTTAATTTCAAGAGTATATCTCTGAGAAAAAACAAGATTTAACACTTTCAAAATTGCTAGTTTTTGTAGAAATTCAACCATGAAGAGACATTTTCATGCTCATCCGTTCTGTCAAGTCAGCTCTGTTCTGGTGACTTATAATGTCGGTGAAGGAAATGAGTGGCAGTACTTGAGTGTGTTATCTACTATACATATAATATAAAAAAAGCAGTTTGACAGTAATGATTCATTTTTAATTTTCAGAAGGAAAAAACTGCATTGATTCACATGCTTGCAATCCAATAGAGCCATTTACAGTAGCGTATAAAGTGAACTAAACATACCATATATGCCAAGGCAGAAGGATTTCTACTTGTGATGCCTCATGCGTGCACTGAACGGTATTAGTCCCCTAGAGCTTCAGCCAAGCCATACAGATTGGAAATAATAAAATCTGTAACCATGGGTCTGACCAACATGCTACAATTATGAACAATATTGGAGATCATAACGTTGATGAAATCATGCAACTGCAAGCAAATTGTTAAGACACGTTTATCAGTAGAACTTGTGTAGTCGGGTCCAATACATGTATTCATGTATACACAGTGCAATAGTTGGCAGCAGGTTTTGTGTTTTAACGTATCTCTAAAAATGACTTTAATTTGTACTAAAACTATGTCTTAAAGTAGCAATGAAAGGGAAAACAGTTTTGGTGAGTGTGAACTTGGGCATTGTAACCAAAGCCCAACTTAGTGGCAAACAAAGAGCTATCAATGCCTCTCTTTTCCCTTATATATTTTGTAACAGCTTATGGTCAATTCATCTGCCAAGCTCTCTTCACCTTCACAACAGAATGGGGGACTCCTGTGACAACAGATGGGTGTGAATTTTAAATGAACTATAATACGATAGCTTCTCAGAGAATTCGGATAACAGCTGGATGGGAATAATAAATACTGTATGCATTTTTTAAAATTAATACAATTATATATCTTATGTTTCTATCATTATGCCTTCCTTGATGTCGCAGGAAATATTGTCCTTTTATTTATGAATGAAATGGAATTTTTAAAAATTCTCTTCAGAATGTTACATTTTGGGTCAAACAAATAAAACCTAAATTTATAGCGAAAAAATTCATGAACAAGTGCTAAAATCCACTGAATTTTCTGAGAAGCTACAATATAATCTTTTTTTGATTAACTGAGTATCTAACACATGCAGAAACCCATTACCAGGGTATCCAAAACCTGAGTTCTATGCGTTCTACCAATAGATTGCTCAATGGCCCCATAAACAAATGCACTATGTGGTTGATTCATAACAATGGAAGATCCCAGTTTAAAACCTGGTCACTATCTGCTCTGGGTAATACATTTCAGCAGTTGTTGACCCAAGTCACAGAGGCTCCTTATCAGATATTTGCTGGATATCTGCTGTCAGCTTTGCGGAAGAAATTATACTGGACAGGGAGTACCAGTCCAGTAACCATGATGTTCTAGATGTCCAGTGCAATACCACGTTTCTCAAAGATGGAGAGGTAACAAATCAACTAGAGTTATTTACTCCAGTAATCTCTCTTGAAATGGAAGAAATGAGTGATGACTGAGGACAAAATTGGGTTCAGATATGATAGTCCCTATGAATGAATACTGTGCGAACAACAACAACAACAAATTACACTTGTATAGCACCTTTCATGTCGGAAAGACGTCCCAGGGCTCTGGACAGTCAGGAGTTTTTGGACCTGAGCTGGGAGTTGGGGTCAGGAGGGGTTGAGGACAGTGGGGGTTGGGGTGAAGGGGTGGCCAAAGGCATGATTGAAGAGGAAGGTCTTTAGACGGGAGTTGAAGGAGGCAAGAGACCAACATCAACACTTGCGAAACTGTACTCCAGCTTTGAGTAGAGTAAAATCTTGTATCAGTAAAATCCCTTGATGTGTTTTGATAGGTCTCAATGACTCAATAAGGTGTTATATCAAATGCAAGGATTATTATTAATTATTATTATATAGATTTCATACACGAAATTGGACTTGTCTTTTGCATGGAAACATTGATAACTTGAATCAGAAACACCTGTTTACTTGTGTGTGTTGTAGTGCTGTCACTTTGAAAATTGGTAAAAACGCATTTTACCAATTGAACTCTTAAGTATTGTATTTTGAATGCAATATTTTTGCCCTAGAAGTGGGAATTTCTGTTTTGAGAGTTAAGCAGTGGGTTTTGCAATAGAAGACAAAGAATACCTGAGCCAAAAATCCTCTCTGACTCCTTCGGGCATGGTGAAACCTTTTAATGAAGAGAGCAAAGAATTGTCTGCACATTAGTTTTTTGCCGTCAATAGTATATGACCCCCGTCCAGTTAATCCTTCTGAAGCATCTGTTTCGAGATCTATAACATGAATTCAAAGAAGAAAATTGTGCACGAGATGAGACGGCAAAATAAAATAAAAAATGCATTGTACACAACATCATTAATTAATGAAGTTCCACATCATTCCTCGCAATATCTCTTGTAACACGGTTTTACAAAAATAAGAATGTAACTTGAGGAAAAACTTTAAAATATTCAGATTCTATAATATACACATACATTAATGAACATTTACACACAACATTTTCTGCAGCTAATCTTGACAGTAATCAGCCATCTCATGCAGCTCGTCATGTCTAATATTCACATCCATACAATGTGCTCTGTGGTTAAACTTCCAGTAAGCTAAACCATGGAATGCAAAGTGGAAAAGTACAAAGACATTTAAGTCAAGTATATTAAAACATAAAGATACAAATTGGAAATACATAACTTAATGGAAATAAGATACAATCATTTTATTCCTGCCTCCACCCAATGATTCAGAAACAAAACATCAATGCCAGCTAGTACTATAAAGGTTTGGACAGGCTTTACAGGTTAGGTTGCAGTTAAAGTATTGTATCCACTATTGGGCATCTCTTTACATAAATACATGGCAGCCATTCGGAAGGGACATTTGATTATATGTATGAACATGGCCCTTTCTCGTTGCTTTCTGACTACACTTGTCTAAATTAATGTTAGATTTTGCTCCACAATGGGAAATGCTTCACTTTCAAATACTTCTAACTATAGAGGAAAGAAGTTTTAAATTGAGAAGCCCTCCTGACATGAAAGGCACCATGTAAATGTAAATTTATATTGTGTATATATCTATATATATACACATAATAATAATAATCCTTGCAGTTGATATAGTGCCTTATATCTTTGAGACTTCTCAAAGACCTTCAAAAGGAACACTATAAAATGTAATGACTATATTTAGTGGGCGAAACATGGCAGCTAATTGCATACTAAGTATGTATATCTATAGGTATATAAAATAAAAAATGGCAGTGATAAACCTCTAGCTTTCTTGCCTGGCTCTAGACTGTTCTTATGTGAAGCTGTTCATCTGATGATATTACTGATAAAGAGGGGCTCCATTTATTAAATGGGAATAGCATCTTTGCGATAGTCTGGAACTGTTTGGCCCTGGTAAAACACATTAACAGCAGTGAGTTCCTTAATACTCTCTCTCACACAGTTTCCCTAGACTCCTAAGTCAATGAAGTATCAGGTCCCATTAAACAGAAAGTATTTCCCCTCCCCCATAAGGAAAACACTACTTGTTCTCAGGATGAAGTGAATGTGACACCATCTTAAAATATAAAGAAAAGTTTTTTTCATCAAGATTTATATTACGTAATTATTTTAGAGTAGGAAATGTAGAGAAATAGGAACAGGAAGGGCTATACAGTACAGCAAACCTGTTCCACCAGTTTATTCAATTATGACAGATCCTTTAATCCAATTTCCCCGAATATTTCTCCATATCTCTGAGTACCCTTACTTCCCAAGTATCGATCTGCCTCTTAAACATCTCCTTCTCCTCCTCATTTTTTTGTATAAGTCCTAACTCAGGTTAATGTACAGGCGAGTGTCAATTCTTCATATGACAATAAAGTCTATTAGCCATGTGTAGATGCAGGTATATGCAGGTAATTATAGATTATCATCACCATGATTTTAATTATGTAACCAATGAAAATGATTTGTTATCTCATTTTAAAATATTTAAAAACCAACATTAAAAAAGGACATCTACAATTCCCTATGCTTCTTGATTCATTTTTCCTGTTTGGTTCAGGAGCTGTATTCAAATTCTCATTTTCAAAGATTTATAATAGATTTTTTTAAAGAAATTCATGACTGAGGTTTGAAAAGGACATTGTAAATTCAGCTCCTGAACCAATTTTTGTTAACCCAAGGGAACTCTGCTTCACACGTAGATCACATTGTTTCTGCAGGGCTGACTGATGTACCTCTGGTTACTGAATGGAAATCTCATTTCCCAGAGTCAGATTCTGTATAAAGGAACCTCATTAAATATTGCAGATTAAATGTTAAGGTTTTTGAATTTTTTTATTTCCGATTTTTGCTGTGCCACATTTTACTTGACTGGCAAATTTCTATTGAAATACAAAACTCAGCTATTATTGTCATGATAAAAGGGAACAAATAGAATCAGCAACTGACAAAATACGTGGGAACACCATGTCAAATCTGTAACATGTTCAGTAATGCAAAACGATGTGTTCAAATCAGTGTGACATGGCTGTCACTGGATCCTCAATAGCGCAATCCATGTCTGTCAATGTACTACAAATGGAAAAAAAAAACTTTGCTAAAAATACCATTAATACTGCAAGCGCGATGGTATGGTGTAACTGATTATCTTTGACCATGCTTTCGGCCATCCTCCTACCTTCCGTGCCCTCCAGCCCCCCAGTTCAGGTCCAAATCCCTGACTGTCCAGCGCCTTGGGATGACCTTCTGATGTGAAAGGTGCTATACAAATGTAATTTTGTATTGCATTGTATTTTATAAAATCTTAATTCTAGACGAAAACCCTTTTCCCTTAGGTAAAACTACTTGTCAATATAATTGTGCTTCAAGAGAAAATTAATTCTTACCAAACTTCATAAGTTCATAATTTTACAAAGAGATCAACAGATAATAGTCGCAAGGCACAGTGAGTCAAATACAAATGGAAATTGGGGAGTAAACATTTCAAAGGTTTGCGGTAAACATTTCATATTCAAGTACTTGGAAACCATACCAGTGTCATCATTCGCCTTCATTATTCCAGGATTCTTGTCAAGATTCGATATGGTCACTTGCCTCAATTCTCTTGAACTTCTTTTCCAATCCTTTTTAAATGAATTCTTTCCTATTAAGTGTGAGAGAAAGAGAAAAAGATAAATCTTCTTGTTGCCTCCACCTGTATGTTTGACTTTTTACCTTTGCTAAAACAGGACCAGGAGAATACTTTATGGCTGTGCTACTGCTTGTCTGTTAACATCCAGAGATTGATAATAGATGTAACTCTTCTCTTATATTTGATGACCAACAAGACTTACTGTTATGGTGCCACTGCATGCTGACTTACACAGGTGTGCTGCTGCAGAGCTCCCTGTTGATTTACAATATTATACTGGTGTGTTTGATGTAGCAGCAACATTTGCTGACTTGTTTTAGCAAAGGTAACCTTTTATTTTAAAGAAGTCTTTCAAAGTTCCATAGGTATTCAGCAGTATTTGTGCTCAATGAGATTGGAAATTGGCAATAATTGGATTTCATAGAATATTGGGAATTTTTTTGCAATATATTGGCAAGTGGGTAGTAAATATTGTAAATATGAATAATCTTCCAATCGTGTTGTACTGTTATACAATATAACATCATTGATCTGAATATTGAACTCCACAGCTGTCCACAAAGGTGTAAAAAACTAACATTTCATGTACATTATATGGAAAACAATGTGATTATATTTTTAAAAAATAAATTGGTCACTCAATCTATGACGGTTTGTGGGACACTGCTCTGCGTAATTAGCTGCCACATTTCACCCACAAAGTATACAGTCAATTCACTTTACAATAACAACTTGCACCTATATAGTGCCCCCCATGCAGTGCAGTGTCTCAGAGCACTTAACAATGGTGGATCCTGTCGGGGGGGAGAAGAGGTAACTGTAAGCACGGTCGAAGAGGAAGGCTTTAAGGCGGGACTTGAAAAAGGGGAGAGAGGGGGTAAGGTGGAGGGATTGAGTGAGAGTGTTCCAGATTTTGGGGGCGTAGTGTCTGAAAGCGCAATCTCCGATGGTGGGGCAGAGAGTGTGAGGGACAAGCAGGAGGCCGGTGCCAGTCGAGTGGAGGCGCTGGGTGGTGGATTGGGAGTGAGGAGGTCGGAAAGATAGGGAGGTGATAGGGAGTGAATGGATTTGAACACAAGAGTGAGGATCTTGAAGTCGATCCTTTCGGTGATGGGGAGCCAGTGGAGCCTGGCCAGAACTGGTGAGATGTGGGTACGGAGTTTGTTTAGGTCAGTATACTGGCGGCAGTATTTTGAATGAGCTGGATTTTTTGAATAGTGGAGCGGCAAGAAGTGTGTTTGAGTAATCCAGGCGGGAGGTGACAAGCGCTTGCACAAGGGTTTCGTCTGCATTTGGGGTAAGGTACGGTTGGAGACGGGCAATGTGGTGGAGGGGAGGAAGGTGATCTTTATCAAGTCCCGCCTGAAAACCTTTCTCTTCAACCGTGCTTACAGCCACCTCCCTGCCCCAACACCCCCCCAACCCATCCCCCGCAGACTCGGAGTCAGGCTTTGCCACTGTTAAGTGCTCTGAAATGCTACCCTGCGTGGAGGGTGCTATAAAAGTGCAAGTTGTTTTTTTATTGTTGTTCCCATGGGTAGAGTCTCAAGAGTGCTTAAATCTGGCTCGTTAGATCTAGAGAAATTCAAGAAGCAAATAATAGCATTAAGTTTTATGTTGGACTTAAATAACATTGAACCGCATTGTTGCTATTTTGGGAGAATTTTGTACTTTCTTAAACCAAGCAACACAGAAGCAAGAACAACACAGTTCAACTTTTGCTGGGCCAAGAACTACATTGTGCTATGCGATTGATATGAAACATGCAGAATAAATGGGTATCATGAATTGTGATGGAGCCTGGATTCTTACCAGCACTCAGACAAGATAGTTTCAGAAGCAGTTTTATTTGCAGTATAAACACAGAGTGTGTGAACCTATGAACCTATGACAGCTCCACTCAATGGTTCTTTGAAAGTTCTCAAGTGATCTTGTGAACATCCATGAAGGCAAAACAAAGTCATTTTGATGTTATTGAAGTACTGGTGATATAAGTACTCCTGACACCAATGACAACTATCACCCAATTTGAGTATTTTATAATATTTCATATTATTTTATATTCCTCCACTCTGAACCCATCCTCTGGAACTCCATCCCGTAGTCCCACCGTCTCGTCTCCTCCCTCACCACCTTCAAGACCCACCTCAAGACCCTCCCTGCTTCCCTCCCGCTCTCCACCCTCCCCCCATGCCAACCCCCAGCTCCCGATGTGAAAGGCGCTATACACATGTAATTTTGTTGTTGCTGTTTATGTGTGTATGTATTAAGTGGCATATTGTCAGAGCTCTGAAATCAGATGTTAGCATACAGCATAATACTGGAATCTGGAAAATACTCCACTTCACAGGAGAGGAACCAAGAAAGAGGAATACAAGAATCTAAATGAGACAGTGAACCTAAACCCAGAAAAAATAGTTTAGATATTAAGGTTATAAGAGGGTGTTGGTTCTGGGTTGTGAACCACAAACAAGTCCTGTAGCATAGTGGTTGCAGTGCTCGACTTGCAAAAGAGAGGACCTGGGTATTAGTCTTGGCAGGGTGAAACATTGGGCAAGTTTCCTTACTCCACATGCCTCTGTTTACCCAGCAGTAAGTAGGAACCCGGTCGTCAGTCGATTGGTGGATCGCTTTTCCGGGGGGAGTAATCCATTCAAAAAATAATAATGTGGTCACTCAATCCATGGCTGTTTGTGGGACACTACTGTGCGCAATTGGCTGCCATTTTTAACCTATGAAAAATACAGTCAATTCACTTTACAGTATATTCTGTGAAGCGCTTTCAGACGTCTCGAAGACCTGATATGATTTAAGCTGATTTCAAAGAATTTGTGTCCAGTCTTTTACAAATCATGTTCAATGGCATTTCTTCAAATCTGCTCAACTCTTGCCATACTTCATACCTGGCATTAATGTGTCCACACCAGTATCTTCTGCCACTTTCAAAAAAATCTGTTAAAAGGAAAATGACAGTCACTCAAAGGCAAAATATGACAGAAAATGCACCACCACATTACACTTCCAAATGGTGTACACATTAATAAGTTTGTAATCATATTGGAAAGCTAGGGAGAATCTTCTTGCATCTCCTTGAGAGGATGAAAAAGCCGTATGGCCTGTTGTTTAGCAGTATATGGACACATAAGAAGAGTCTTGTGTTCCCAGATTTCAAGGGAGGATTGAAGCTTTTGATCAATTTTGTCGATTTCTAAAACTTGGGATTTCTGAAGTCAAAGTCAACGTAGAACAACAACACTTTAGACTTATATTACGCCTTCATCTCAGGTGGATGTCTCAAATTGCTTCACGGAGCTTAGAGAGATTCCCCAGCAGTCATTTGGATCTGATGGTAGCAGAGCTTTTGGTTTTTTCTATCTACTTTCTCCCATTTGCTTCTTCACCAGGCTATTTCCTAGCTCAAAGAAATGATATGAGCTCAGAGGAGGCATTATCCAATTATGATACTAACTGACTATGGTGCCATGCTGGAGGCATCAATTTTGTGACTCGGCTGCTATGTTAAAATGAAACACCTGTTGGTGCTACAAGAGTGTTTTAGTGCTGATTTATTACAAAGAATTTGGGAACCCCCCCATCTTCTAACAATTGAAGATACTCTCACTCATTTTAAAATCATATCATTCCCTCACACCTCCCTACCTCTTCGACCTGCTTACCCCCATTCCCCACCTGCTGCCTCCACTCAGCTGGCTCCAACCTCCTGTTTGTCCCTTGTGCCCTCCGTTCCACCATCGGTGGCCATGCCTTCAGTCACTACGCCCAGGAACTCCGGAACCCTGTCCCTCAATCCCTCCACCTTGCCCCCTCCTTCCCCATCTTCAAATCCCACCTAAGGACCTTCCTTTTTGTTTGTACTTAAGTTACCCCCCCACCCCCCACTCCATTTGTGGAGTCCTGTAGCTCAGTGGTTGAGCACTCGCTTTGCAAGCTAGAGACCTGAGTTCAATTCCAGGCAGGGCGAAACCTTGGGCAAGTTTCCTTACTCCACACAGAGCCTAATAATAATCCCTCCAAAACCAAAAACAATAATAAATTGGTCATTTTCAATCCATGACTGTTTGTGGGACATTGCTGTGCGCAATTGGCTGCCGCGTTCGCCCACAAATATACAGTCAATTCACTTTACAGTGTGTTCTGTGAAGCGCTTTGGAACGTCCTCCCGACGTGAAAAGCGCTATATCAAATGCAAGGATTATTATTATTATTATTATTATTATCTCCCCCTGGCTTAGGGTCAGACTCAGCCACTGTGAAGAGCTCTGGGATACTACTACCCCACGTGAAGGGCGCTGTATAAATGCAAGTTGAAGCAGTAGTAGTAACAAAGAAAGCAATGTTTCAATGAAAGAATACCTCTTCAAGTGTAGTATCTGAAATCCCGTAGCTTGAGATACCGAATCTCTGGAGCTCCAAATCTAAATTTTTAAACAGTTCAGCAAAACTTCCATCACCTGCCCCTTCGTATGGCAAAATATATGTCATCTCTTGGCCAATACTCTCAACAAACTGAGCCTCGGGTACATGCTTCATGATCAATCCTGTAATAGCATTTTCACCTGAAATGAATAAGGAAATTAAAGCGAACAAAAAAAACAAAAAGAGTTTTAAGGCTGTGTCAGGTTATTCGCTGGAGTTAGATTAGAAGATCAGCCATGATTGAATGGCAGGACAGGCTCGAAGGGCCGAATGGCCTACTCCTGCGCCTACATGTTATGTTATGAGTTACAGAAAATCAGTACCTTTTAAGTATTAGTTCCTCCCCATTTAAGATGAGATAAGGCTACACCCATAATCCGCGCTTTGAGACTTCCTCCCGACATGAAAGGCGCTATACAAATGTAATCTTGTTGTTGCTGTAATCACTCCTACCAGCCTGCATGACAGCAGGGAAATGCAACACGTACATTTCAGTTAAACAACTGCAATAGATTTGTTTGTAAAGGAGTTTTCCGTTGATGCACTGCTTTTCGATTCAGTTAGTATGGTTTTCTGTTTTTTGACATCTCGGTTGCCGAGTTTCGCCCACAAAATACACAGTCAATACACTTTACAGTATATTCTGTGAAGTGCTTTGAGATGTCTCAAAGACGTGATAAGTCGCTGTATCAAATTCAAGGATTATTAATATATATATAAATAATCTGGATTTAGAGGCTAAATTTTTAATGTACACACAGTGGAAGTGGTCAAAGCTGTACTAAGAAACTAACTGAATTCTAGCTTTAATGAAGAGTGTAAAATATAAAACCATAGAGATCATGTAAAATATGTACAAATCATTGGTGAAGCCACGTTTTATATCAGTGCTCCGCTTTAGGAAGGATATCAACCCTATGGAAGGAATGGAAGGTATTCATGAGGATGGCACTTGTGCTTTTTTATATTAAGATATGAAACATGTCGCTACTATTATATTTTCACATTAAAATATGTAATTTTTAATATGAAAATAATATGAATAGCATGTTTCATAAAATTTCAGAAAATATGAAATATTTTAATTCTACAGATCAAGATTGGTCAGCATTTGCATTGCAAGGAATTATGTGCAATAATGAAGAAAGAAAATGATGGGGATCTGAAATACAAATGGGGAGAGAGAGAAACTTAATGGCACCTCTTCACAATTGTGCGTTAACCAAAAGTGTTAACACATAATTGTCCTTTCAGATGCTCATTAACCTAATCTGTATTCTTCTCATTTCTGTTTAAAATGGAACCATTAACTGTGAGAGAGAGCTGCAAGAAATTAGAAACCTAGGAATGTGCAGGAATTGGAAAAGTCTTCCTATACGACACTGCGTTTTCTTTCTCTCTCTCACCACTCAATTGAATTGTTCAACAAGTTCAGCAATCCTCTCTGCCACTGCTCAGGTAATCTATTACACATATTCACCATGAGGTTAGTTGTTATTTAATACTGTTTTACGGGAAGCTCACCTGCAAGGTCATTAGGTCCACTGTCACTGCCGATGCCCTCATCGGATACATCATCATCCTGAAAAAGAAACAGAAATTATGCTTTGGTTCAGCACAGAGCTGTACAGTTAAACTGATTATGCAGAGCAAAACGATTTATCCTTGTGTTTGATTTCAACTAAATTCTATTACTTTGCATCCTGTGGCATGGGATAAATGACAGAAAAAATTATGAATGAAAGTAACTATTAAAGGTGATTGATCCAAACATGCTGAGCAGTTGATTAAGGTGTCGAAAACAAAATGAGAGACTATCCAGCAAAGAACCACATACTCCAACAAAAACAAAGAGAGTTGGGAAAATTCAGCAGGTCAGGTCTCTATGGAGAAAGTGAGTCAAACTCAAAAGTGAGTCGACTCACTTTCCTTTCTCCACAGAGGCTGCTGGGTTTTCCCAACTCTCTCGGTTTTTGTTTCAGATTCCAGCATCTGCAGTATTTTGTGTTTTGACCACATAATCCATCTCACTACTCTACCTCAATTGCAACTGTAAGGGAAGACATTCAAAAGAGTGTATTCAATTTTTTAAAAAAATCCCCATTATGTTTCAAAAATGACAAATAAATTATTTTGCATTATAAAACAAATATATTCACAAATTCACAAGTCTCCATGAAGAGCAGGTACATTACCAACTTTACTGCCGCAAGTTTCAAACAAAATCTGACTAATAAATGCAAGTTGTTGTTGTTAATTACATGCACCAGTGATATTGCATTCGGTCGTGAACATCACCGGGCTATGTAGATATCAATAATTTTATTGAAATGAAAATATTACACAAGAAAAGAAAACTAGATGCCTGCAGAGAAAGAATCACGCATGATTGTGCAGTCTAACCTGCTCTCTACCTCACTCAGAATTCTTGAGAAAAGTGAGGAAAAAAGCTATTACTCATTATAGCTATTCTACCTGTTCGCTCAGCAGGTTCTGGTCTGCTCCACGCCCCCCTCCTGGCCCGCTCCACCATTGGCGGCTGGGCCCCAATGGGCAGCTTTTCTGCCCCCACCCTACGGAACTCCATCTCACATTCCCTTCACCTTGTCTCCTTCAAGGCATGACTCAAGTCCCTCCTCTTCGACCGTGCCTTCGGCCACCCTTCTACCCTCTCTGCCCTTCACCCTCCCCAGCTCGGATCCAAATCTGTGACTGCCCAGCACCTTGTGACGTATCCCAGTGTGAATGCCGCTATACAAATGTAATTTGTATTGTATTTTACATTGAAAAGGGAATCATATCTGTAAGGCACATTGCCTGTCCAGCTAGGACTGCTTACAAGTGTCAGAGTGACAGGTAAAACCATTGACAATATCTTGGATGACTGCAAACATCAATAGACATGCCTCTCTGGAGTGTACTGAACCCAAGGAACATTTTGTTATTTAATCTATCCCTCCTCTCCCCAAGACATTTATTATTGGGTATTGGTATTTATTTAATTGGCCTCAAAAGGGTAGGAATATCAGTGCTGGATATTGCCAATTGCACATAGCAGTGTCCCACAAACAGTCGTGGATTGAGTGACCAATTTTTTTTTAAGGAATTAGTACCCCGGAAAAGCAATCTGCCAATCAACTAACAAGCGGGTTCCTACTTACTGCTTGGTAAACAGAGGTGCGTGTGTAGAGTAAGGAAACTTGCCCAACATTTCGCCCTACATATAATAATGCAATAGTCAAGAAATTAGATTACTTATACTGTAAAAAGTGATCAGAACATGAAAGATTAGATCACATTACTTTGAAACAACATCATGAATTTTTTATAAAAAATGCAAATATGGGTTTTGCCTAGATTTACCAAAATTTAAATTCCCAAATCATTGATTTGGAATTTAATTATTATTATTTGAGGAACTCAAGGGAGTTTCGATGTATACAATGTTGAATATAATTCCCCCAGCACTCATCAAAGCTGTGTGACATGTAAACATGAAAAATAAAATGTAAACTCTCAGTAAACTATTGATCATTCACTTCATTACTGTTTTGGTACATTGCCATGTGCAAAATTAACTACCATGTTCACCAACAAAACAAAACACTGCTCTTTACATTATGTCCTGTGAAGTGATTTGGGACATTCTCTGACGTAAAAAGCACTATAACCAAATTCACCAAATGTAACGATTATCATTATTATTAAATTTTATTTAAGAATTGACATACACTATTTAATAAACCCTACATGTATGGATATATATTCCGTTGACTGAAATCAATATCTTGAATACACTAAAACTTACATTTATAAAGAATCTTTCAAATAAAAGAACACTTCAAAACGTTTAATAAACTGAGTTGCACACCAAGCAGGAAAGTGAAAGGTCTAAACACCTCTCGAGTGGGATTGAGCGATACACAAGTGTCCTGGCTGTGGATTTCTGGGCGATCAACAACAACAGGTTACATTTATATTTATGCATCAAATGCAAGGATTATTATTATATAGTGTTGATGCATCTTGCTTACGTAATTATTATATAGTGGGATGCATCTTGCTTAGCTAATTCCAGACAGTATTAGGCGCAGAATGGCAAAAGCCAAGATTAAAATTTTCAAGGAGAGTTGAGGTTTGAACAAACCTCCAAGGTTCCACATAGGATCTATGAGTTGGAATGAGCACCCATGAAAGTTGAAATGGTCATCACTTGAGTTGAGGAGGGACTGCTTGGGCACCTAAATTCCATCCCACGGTCCCTTCACCTCGCTTCCTCCCTTGCCTCCTTCAAGGCTGGTCTCAAGACCCTTCTCTTCGATCGTACCTTTGGTCACCCTCCCACCTTTCTGCCTTCCCTCACCCCTACACCACCGACACCTGACTGGACGTCCTCCCAACGTGAAAGGCGCTCTATAAATGTAATTTTGATGTTGTTGTTAGTCAATGACCCTTTTGAAAAATATCAATCTTGAGTAACAGTAATGAATAATGAAAGTAGTTTCCCGAGAATGTGTATGCAATTCCGTCTAGTACACAAAATGGGTAGTTGGGTTGATCATTTTTCTTTCCATTCAGAATTTCTGCAATCTCTAGAGTTGAGAGGTAAAACTTTTAAATCAGTGATGGCCAACCTTTATGGTCGACCAACAAGGTAAATGTTCATAGAATCATGGAATTATACAGCACAGAAGGAGGCTATTTGGCCCATTGTGTCTGCGCCGGCTCTTTGGAAAGAGCTATCCAAATCAATCCCACTCCTCCGCACTCTCCCCATAATAATAATAATAATCCTTGCATTTGATATAGCGCTTTTCACGTCGGGAGGACGTCCCAGAGTGCTTCACAGAACACACTGTAAAGTGAATTGACTGTATATTTGTGGGCGAACGCGGCAGCCAATTGCGCACAGCAATGTCACACAAACAGTCGTAGATTGAAAATGACCAATTTATTATTGTTTTTGGTTTTGGAGGGATTATTATTAGGCGTGTGGAGTAAGGAAACTTGCCCAAGGTTTCGCCCTGCCTGGAATTGAACTCAGGTCTCTCGCTTGCAAAGCGAGTGCTCTAACCACTGAGCTACAGGACTCCATAGCCCTGCAAACTTGTACTCCCAAATCATTATCTACCATAAATGTTCTTGATTGGATATTTCTTGATTTATGCCTCTAGATATTGCACTATGTCTATGGGATTGGCAAGAGTGGTGAGCAGAGGAACTCAAACATTCTCTGTGTTCCTGATAGAAGCCTTGTAAGGAAATACTTTACATACCTGGAATCAATGACTATTTAGGGGACCATCACAGTGAGGAATGTCCTCAAGCCTTCTGACTGCTTTACTTAAGATAATGGAATCTTCTATTCCTGATATCAAACAACACTTATGCCAGTTTGCACTGCAAGCAAAGCAACAGAACTTCAACTAGATACTCTTAAGCATGATGGGTTTCCACATGTGTCAGACAGCAGACTGAACCCCCAAAAAATGATTAGAAGCAGATAGTCTGATTTGTACCTTTACTCCCTAATTGCAATGACCAGGGGCTGAGGACATCTCCACACAAAGCTCTGCTAAAGGGTATTGGCATTTAATGCTATTATGTAACCTCTGTTATATTTTCCTTTTTACAATCTTCGTTGAAAGCCTGGATAAGTCAGTTATAAATTGAAGCAAATTTTGCCTACACAATTGTGATCAAGAGCTGGAAATTATCAAAAGGAATATAAAGGCCTGATCACCAGTGCAGATAACTAACCATTGCACTGAAGTCGACAATTCTACATTATTATAACAACCCACTTGAGACCTAACCTTGAAGAAGCTTAAATAACTAGAGATTCTGGGAATGACAGTGAACGACCCAATCTGTTTTAACCCATCAGATTGATAATTCTCTTGCCTCAGGGTCAGACGTTTGTGGGTTCGCAAATGGCTGCTGTCTGTATTGCCTACAAAATACGCTTTTTGTATTTCATAGGCCGTATAGTCACTACACTTTGCAGTATATCCTGATGAAGCATTTTGAGATGGCCTCTATATAAAAAAAATTCTATATAAGATGCAAAAATTATTCTGAGTTATTATTTTAAACAACTTGCGTGTATATAGCACCCTTCATGCAGGGTAGCGTCTCGGAGCGCTTAACAATAGCGGAGCCTGATGCTCACCTGGGGGATGGGGGAGGTGACCATAAGCACAGTCGAATAGGAAATTCTTCAGGGATGATCTGCAAATGGGGAAGGAGTGGGCAAAGCAGAGAGATTGAGGGAGAGAGTTCCAAAGTGGCTGACATTTCGCCCCAAAATACACAGTATTCACTCAATCCACTTTAGAGTGAAGCGCTTTGAGGCATCTCAACGATGTGATAAGGCACTATTTTAAATGCAAGGATTATTACTAATGACACATTTTCGCATAAGCACCATGACAAATTTAAATTATTTCACTAATACATTAACAAAACAAAAGAATGCTATGTTATATCACTACTTCTATAGAAAATAGGGACAGACATCTCTCAATTTCTAAAGAAATTGGATGGAATCTTATGTAAAATATAATATCCAAATCTGATTCT